TCGATTTAATGGTATTATGTTTTTAAATACTAAATTTAAAATTGCCAAACATACAGTGTTAAATTTGTCCGAAATAAATTTAACAGGCTTTTATGTTTTTTCCGAGTAAATGTTTTTATTTTGAAGTTATTACATTTCAAAAATCTTCCGAATAGGTTTATTATTAGTATATTTTATGAGTTTCACCTAGAATTTTTATTAATTATTTCACTGCGTTCTTACAGCCTTTCACAATACGTTTTATAATAACTAATCATTCATATATTAAAAATATTTATTGGTTCCACGAATGTCAATAAATCACCACTTTGATTTAATTTGAATGAATTGACAATATATTACGTACTATTAGAATATTGAACGGTATATAGATACGTTAAACTTCAAAGCACTCTGATTTTTTGAATTTCGATCGATAATGGCTGGAATTCAAATTAGTTTTTAACAGGGAAACATTGAATATACATCAGTTAGTCAATATCACAAAGAACTTATGTTTTTACTTAAAACATAATCCTATTAAATTGATATTCGATGTACAAACTACACATTTTTAAAATAAAAAGAGTCATTCAGATAACAATATAGTTTCCATATAAAATATTTATGATTTTCAAAATGGAAAAAAAGAATATACATAAATATAATAATCTCAGAAGAATATACTGAAATCTTTAAAAATTTTCTTAGTGAAAACAAGTACAAAAATAACAAACTTGCAATCGTTTCTTAAACTTAGTTTTCTTGTTATGTATTTGCGATCATTTCTCAGAGTTACATTTGTATTCAATTATTTGTTTCAAAATATTCTCATAAGAAATTAGTTATAATTTTTTTTTGCGAATACTTTGATATAAGTTTATATTTATACTGTACAGTTGTAACATACAATAAGTTTTCTTTAGGACCAATGAATTCTGTTAAGAAAAATAATATATTTAAATATTATTTTTTTGAATATTATGTATGAACATAATTTAGTACATATTTATTATAAGTTAATTAAAAGTTTTAAATGTGTATGCAGTTGTATATAATGTTAACTGCTGTTTAGTTTCTATATTGTTGATTGAGTAAGAATGTTAAGCGAAGCTGTTTTTCATCTGTCTCGAATACCTAAACAGAAGAGAAGTAACTTCATTTTTAAATATGTTTATTTCAACCCATTATTGTGTATAAGAATGAATAAAATAGAATGAAAGTGGTACTACCCAGAGAAGGCTGAATGATGTGTATTTAATATTTGAACAGACAGGAAGAAATATCTAGGCACAGCTCAAATATTTTTCAGGCTAATAAATCATAGGTGATACAAAAACTATTGTATCAACTCCCGAATGAACCATGCTACTGAAAAATAAAAGGGTTATTTTTCTCAAATTGTAATAAACTAGTAAGTAACCTATTTCTAGTAGTGTTAATGTTCATCATAAACTAACATAAATGTTCATCGATAATTTACCGTATTTGATTATATTGATTCAAGTCCACATAGACTTCGAATTATATCAACGAATTTTCTTTGTCGAATGATGTGGTTATATCTAACAATCTATTATTTGTCAGCAAAGATACTAAAAGTAAATAATTATTTGATAAGTACTTATTTTATATTATGATTATTTGCAATTTTACAATTACTTTTTTTTGTTTGATGATATTTTGTTGGAGAATATTTTTGAATGAAAGTAGAACATATAGCAATTATATTGTCTTATTAGATTCAGGGGAGACTTTGAGACTGTGTCTCCCTAAAAAAAAAAAAAAAAAAACCAGCTACTTGTAAATAATTACTATTGAAAATGCGTTTACTATATTTATTATTATAAATTTAAGGCTACAAAATATAAAACCTATAAATAGTTCGATGGAAACACTATTTTAGTAATTTTAATGATGGTCGCCGTTTCAGTGAAACTGACAGGTTCAATCGTAACCTGTAATGGTTTAGCTTGTTGGGCGGAAGGAGCCGGGGAGAATAATCCGCATATTTTAGAAGCTATTGAAACTGGGTTCATGACAATAACGTCGTCGTTAGTCGCTATACACCGTCATTTGCGAATTCGAAGATAAAAAAATTGCAGAATTAGTTTTTAATTTAATTGTAAATTAAATTAAGTAAAAAATATTGACTAAATATTAAATTAAGTATAAAGTATAATTTTCCAATAAAAGAGTTTTTCTCGTTCATTGTTGTATGAAGTTGATGTTAAATAATTTAAGTCTCCCAGAATATTTACTACGAGCCGCTACTGATTAAATTCAAATTGATCACTAAATACAAAATACACCGTAAAAAATTCATATCAATCATAACATTTATCACAATGAAACCATACCAACTCATGGAATTACTCAACAAAAATCATTTTTATGAATCCACATTTCTCTTATACATGTAAATGCAAATCATTAATTTAAAGTTACCTAGTAGCTTATATACTAGTTACTATAGCAAGTATCGATTTACTTGAGCCCAATTATGTGCTCTGCAATGCTTTGTAAGTAGGTACATAAATAATATGTAAGTACGGTTCTGCATAAACTATATTTATTGTCTCTAACTGACTGAAGATAAAATTAATTAATATATAAAATTATGAACATAATCAAAACAGTAAATAAACAGTTTTTTTGTACGTTAATATTTTTTCAAATGATATATGAAAAAAAAAAAAAAATAAAAAAATTATTCAATAATAATTTGTAAATTGGATGTAAGCTACTATTCATACATTTTTATTTATGTAATTAACTATACTCAGTTATTACATCATATATTATAAATATATACTAAATAATCAATAGAACAATGACATTAATAAATATCTCAAACTATGGAAATAAATCAATGAAATATGTTAGTTAAAATTATTATAAATAACATTAAAACTGATTAGAATACCACAACCGTAATTCTTTATCAAATTAATAACCATAATAACAGTTGAGGCATTAGACTAATAAAGGCTATCTGTATACTATTATAATAGCAGTAATTTTCATTTTCATCTGATTAATGACAAGATTTGTTTAATTTCCTTAATCGTATATTGTACAACGCAATAATGTTGCATTTCACGTCCGTTAAAAACCTGATGCGAACTGTACTTTTTCATTGAAAAAATCTTTATTTCGAAAACCTCATTGTCGGAAAAGAAATATGAATATTGATTTTTGGAGAAAAAATAAACGTCATTAAACTTTGTGTAGTGATTTGAGCTTGATTGAAATCCGTTGGCGTGAGCGCGGGACAACGGAAAATAACTCGTTTCGTTCGCATCCGAGAGGATATAATTATTATCTCGTCGCGATTACTTGTTGCGTATTTTGTTAGTGAAACGGCCCCCAAAACAGTTTCCTTGTATAAAGTCCATAACGCATAATAATTATTATAAAAAAACCGCGCGGACGCACTGATAACCGGCGGTGGCGATGTACATTTTTTTTTTTTTTATCGCAAAATATATAATATGTGTTTGTGGTGTACGTCTATGTATAGTAGAAACTCAATTAACCGTCACTGTCAGGACCGGGACTATGACGGTTAATCGAATAGGCAATAATGTATATATTTTACAACTTAGTATTTTTAGAAGAAAATAATACACATTTACACAGTATATTACATACCATACTAAACACTACTAAACTAAAATTAATAATTTTAAACAAAATGATCTGTTATTTTCGTTTGTTTTTTATTTACGCTTGAGCTTTTTTAGCTACAATATTTCGTATATATATTTCGTATATTTCGAAATAGATCACCATAAGTTTAAAAGAGTGTCACATTTTAAATACCTAGGATCTATAATAACACAAGATAGCGACCTTAAGATGGAGGTGGATACTAGGATTCTAATGGGAAATAGGTGCTTTTTTGGCTTAGGGGGTATGTTTAGCTCAAAAATCTTTTCGACAAAATTAAAAATACAATTGTACATGACCCTGATAAGACCAGTAGTTTTATATGGCTCTGAAAAAGATAGAGGAAACAAGACTTGCGGTGTTTGAACGAAAAATTCTAAGAAGAATCTATGGATCATATATCGATTCTGGCACTGGAGAATGGAGGATACGCCACAATGATGAACTGAAGAACATGTTTCAAAAACCAGATATTATATCCGAAATTAATAGGAGAAAATTAATGTGGGCTGGACATGCCTAGAGGAAAGAGGGCTCTTTCATTAAGGCGGTTATTAAAGAAAACTCGACTAGAAAAAGACCGTTAGGAAGACCGCGTTTACGATGGAAGGATCGTATCAAAAAGGATGTTAAAGCAGTAGAACCAAATACACAGTGGATAGAAGCTGCAGAAGATAGGGAAAGATGGTGGCAAATTTGTTTGCAGGGATGGTCTTGAAGGCTGTAACCCACAAGAAGAAGAAGAAGAAGAAGAAGAATATTTCATATATTATGTAACCGTAAAACCGCGTTACTCGTCAGTCACTGATTAAATTAAATTAAAAATAATTAAATTTGTTCGTTCACGTCGCATTTATCGCATATTTTGGATACTAGAAAAAAAATTATATACGCTTGATAATCGCCGCAACAAGTTTATCGCGTTTGCCTCGAACGATAGCAATGACGGATAACAGAGAATGACGGTTAATCGAGTTTCTACTGTACATGGCGACCGCGAAAGGGTTTGACGCGTTTCGCTGAAACGAAGGGAGACAATGAGGATAAAAAAAAAAAAAAAGTAATAATAATTAATAATACCAATACAAATATGGTGGAATGAAAAGCTCCGGCAACGTTCGAAAGACTTGTCGCCTCCGTGGCCGCGCAGGGTTTCGTACACGGCGCGTACGAGTACACAATAATGCTCTGTAGCACACGTACCGTTATAGTTACCGGGTGTCGGCGACAGGTAGCGTTGCCGTCGGGTCCCGTCGCTCGGTCGGTGAGTCGCCGCCGAGGAGCGTGCGCGATTTCCATTATTATTATTATTTCTTCTTCTTTTTTTCTATCCCCGTCCGATTATTATTCGCCCGCGTCGCACGACCAGTTCACGTCCGTCGACCGTCGTATATCGTTTGTCGTTGCTGGTCCGCGTTCGTCTCGTCCATCTCGCCGGCACGTGAATCGTTACGTTTAAATCGCACCCCGTGCGTTGCACCCAAACACCGTTTACGGTTTTAGTTCGTTTTTTTTTCTTCGAACTTATTACGATCGTGGTCGTTTTTACTGCACGACGGGTTTCAACCATACGCGTGTTTTTTTTTAATTTGTATTTAATTTTTTCGTTTTCGTTGGCAATTCGCATCGGTGGCCCTGATTTCGGTGAAAAATCATACGAATAGGAATTTCCAAGTTTCGCAGTGAGGCGGACCACGATACCCGCCACATTGTGTCGTCGGAACGTGATAACGCACACGTACTCGACGACGACGGTGAGTACCTATATAACGATATTTATTAAATATCTTACCTTAATAATTGCGGAAAATTCAACCGAGACGTGTATTATATATATACGTGTATTGTCCGAGTGACGGTTATTGTTTCATCGGTTACCCCTCGATCACTCCCTCCACTCCTTTTTAATTTTATTGTTTGCGAGACACGTCCGTTTACCCAATATAATCAAAACCATGGTTGGTTGATCGATTGATCATCGTTGTCTGCAGTGTTGAATTCTCCGATGAACTATTTACAATGTTTGTCGTTACCAATAGGCTTATTTACAGATTAATTCGTAATAAATATCTGTGTGTTCGTTTTTTATTTTTTTTAACCAATGTGCAAAAAAAAAAAACATTTTTAATAATTTAAGTAATAATCGTACTTCTTCGTATTCGCCGTGAAGAATATGAAGCACAATATATTCGTTACTGCTTATTTGATGTCAATTGCCTGTTAAACCTAATATTATTTTCAAAGTCACTTTGTTTGTCTAATTACATCATTAAATCAAATTTTATGAAAGAGAGACTGAACGTAAATTAATTATCAAGCATTTTATTATATTATGGTTTATTGGTATTTATTAGGGCTAGGATTTGTATGAAATATGTATAATATGCATTTTATTTACAAAAAATTGCAAAAACAAATTTTTATTTATCATAACTTGTTATTATTTTATTAAATATTGGTTTATACTAATATAGTTTATAAGTCGTACTAATGAAATTAAATGCTTCTGTACTTTCTCACATTATAAGTACTACATACTTGCATGGACTAGGTCCTTAAAATTTAAATCCAGGCCGAGCTGGGCTTTTAAAATTTTAAATCTATTACGGTTCGGGCCGGGTTTTTTCAGAATGTAAAAACTTGTACGAAAATTCAATTTTACTGATAAAAAATTTCTTAGGACCGAGCCGGGTTTTGAAAAATATCTTTAAAGATTTAGACCCGTTTCATAGCCTAACGTCCATATGTGGCATTTTTAATTTATATTGTTGAAGTTCATACATGTTGATCAAAAAAAAAACCTATCATTTTTTCTGTGCATATGAACCTTAATAATGTAATTCGAAAACGTGACAGACGATACGCGCTGTTGTAAGTCAATTTACAAGTCATACGTTAGCAGAAAGTCCATACCGACCGGTCCTAACATTTTTTGTCCGTGCAGACCTCTAATAAGTACGTCTTAAATAATGTATGGATAATTATATCGGTCGTCCGACCAAGATAAGATTATAAATGTAGTATATTTATGACGGTTCGAAAAATAAACGTTCATTAGATAAATACTATTTAAAATTAACAATAATTAAATAATTAAATGAACTTGAAATTTTAAGTTAAAATATTAACAAAATTAACTAGATTCTTAAAAATCTATAAATATGAAATTATATGCATTATGTGTTTAAAATATGCAAAAATGGTTTTATTTAATCGATAATAAGCCAAATCTGAAAACCAATCAATTTAAACTTGAAAAAAATATGCCAATGCATATTGCCCAAATAATATTATTATAATAGTAATAGTAATAATATTATACATATATGTATACTCTTTCAATTCACTATGAGTAAAAAAGTTTTTTTTGTTTTGAAACTACCCACAGAACAAAGTAATTTGTGATAAGTACTTGTTTGATAATTATTTGTATTATTATTTCATTGAAAACGATCTAGGCATTTAATTTATTCTAGACGTTGGTCTAACTAAAATATAACCCTGAAACTTTTTCTCAGAAGAAAACCATTAACTTTAAAAGAAAAAGTTTATTTAGTAACTAAATGGTTTCAATGTAAGTACCTACTTGTGACTTATTCTAGACGTTTAATTATTCTTAGCTTTATTATTTCGATTGGAACTTTTTATAATAAGGTTCTTGAGACTCAGTACTCACGTTTTTGTATTGGGATGGTTAAATTTAACGTGGAAACATTTTATTTATGATAAGTTACAGTTTGTTAATATTTTATATTAGATTTTATATATTTTTTTTTTTTTTTTATATGTTTAAAACTAAATTGGAAAGTATGATATAAACGAGGTTATAAGGAAAACAATAATTAATATCTGATGTGTTTTCATTGAAAATAATAGTTCGTATAAACAATAAAAATGCGTACATTGATACAATAACATTTTACCCTATAATATAAATTGAAATAAAAAGTTGTTGATTATTTTTATTAACAAAATACATACTTGCAAGTTAGGAGTAGGTAAATACTAGACAAGATAAAATACTATAAGAAATCGATAAATCGTTTGAAGTGTTAAGATATTTGACAGTGGTCGTTTCTAGTAATGCATTAAGTAATTTGTTTTTCTATTTCACTGCAAAAAATTATTTAATAATACCGAATAGGTACAATCATGTGTAAAAATTTAGGTATATCGAAGTTATAAAAATTGTAAAGAAATTACTATGAATTAGTGTTATTAGTCGATACACATAATATATATACAAGGTTTTAATACTCGTATTTTAAATAAAGAAGTCAGTTCTCAGAAAATAAGTGCTTAGTCTTTAATATAAAAGAAACCTTGTTTATTGATACTTTATAACTAATACCTAATCATGATAGCTTACGATTAACTGCATATAATTATTTAAACTTCATTTTAACTAATACTTGTTACAACTAGATAGTATGGATATTCTAAATAAGAATTATAGTATATAATGATACTTAATGCAGATTATACATTGTCATTCAATTTATTTCTCTTCCAATGTATTCAACTAAATACTCTATTGAAATAATAAAAACTATGTGTCTTCATTTTATTATTTTTTTACTTTGTATCTTATGGTTATCGTACTGATTACAAAATGATCATCCGATCTATTGTGTAAGAATTGAAGTGGGTATTATATAAAAATGTACAAATTATTTTGTCATTACTGTAGTTACAAATGAAGCAGTAATCCAAATGAAAATGTCAGTAATTTTAATTTGTAACATAGTTTACAATTTCTATTTAGATTTTATAACTGTTGTATAACTATTAATGCTTACGTTAGTTAAATTGATAATAGAATAGATAATAATCAAAATAATTTATGTAAAATAAGCATTAGGTACCGTGGGAATACTATGTATTTAGGAAAAATGTATCTTTAAAAATAGTAGACTTTTTTTTAAAAAAAAAATTTAAATATTGAAAAAATTACAATCTGTTTACAATAAAATACAATGAGTATTTGTGTTAAAATTTTTTTAACTAGACTGTATAGCATGGAGGAAGGGGACGAATACTTTCAATATGAACTCAATTTAGTTTGTATTAGTGATAAAACCACGTGACCATTTTCGTTTCTGTCTACGAGGAGAGTTGTCAGATAGATGCTAGGTTGGTGATGAGAGGATTATAGTGAATTAGAAGGTTTTTGTGGAATTAATTATAATTACAGGATTTCAATGTTGATATCGTGGGAATACAATATAACCTCGATTATAACGTATTGCAGATTTACATGTTTAATTGATTAGTAAATTATGTTTTTATTACGTATGCATAATATTTTTTATTATGCAAATTATCTCCGGTGCTTTTACATGTGTGTTGTATGTTATTTATCTAAGTAACAAAAGTCACGTTATTCATTTTATACCAATTATAGTTTTCTAAATTAAGTTGGATTCTAAAAACAATTAATTTTATCTTTTTATTTTATTATTTATTTCTAAATTAATTTATAGTTTTATTTTTTTTTCTGGGGCTCATAAAAATTTCAAATTCTGCAGAGGTTTAAAATTTAAACTATCTTTTTATCTGTTCATTCAAAACCAATGAATTTCAAAAAGGTATGTATCACCTCTAATTTAACAGATAACTCATAGATAACTCATTGTAATCGTTGTCTAACTCCTGATAAATTTATATTAGTATATTCTGGTTTCATATTCTCATTTTTGTTGTGTCATCTATTGGTGATACTTTAATTTTTAATAAATTGAGTTTTAAATATTTACATTATATACTTGACTCATAGCAATTAATTTAATTTATTAGCCATTCCTTTTTTTTTTGGCTTCAAAAGTTTTTGAGTAAATTATGTAGACTTTTTATTCACTAACTATAATAACTAGATTAATAACGGTTAAAGGCACAAGCTAGTTATCTATTTGTTTATTCACGATATCCGGATCATATAATAAAATATAATTAAACAAATATCTCATTTTTGACCACAGGAAGAATTTTAAGAACCTTATGTGCTCGCTTATTTATTAGTTTTTCATATTGAAAATAAAGTCATTCTTATAAAATTGATTTGCGGTTCTCTGTATTATGAACTATATTAAAACTTTAATTCATTAAACTACCTACGTATTATTTTCTTCGTGTAAGTATACTATTGTGGCGCGCTGTCAGTTACCTGACGGTGCCACAGTATTATTAAATACTAAGTGTTAAGATGGACAAGTTCAATAAATATACTTGTAAAGAATACTTCTTATGGTATTAGTGGCAATTTATTTAACACTTAGAAAAATCAACGGTGTTACAATTATAACGATGACCGACCTAATCAGAGCTTCCGTACTGAATAGCTGGATACGTCTGAATTTAGTGAATTTTGGTACGTACAGTTTTACTTTAGTTGTAGTATACTGTCACTCAGTTTATATTGTGCAGTGCTTAAACAAATATTTATTTATTTTCTACATTTTATTTAAAATGGAAAAATTCACATTTTTTTTCATTTAACACAATATTCAATTTCGCATTAAATTTTTCCATTTTAAATAATACCAAAATTATATGAGATAAGATATTTATCGGTTTCGTTATCAAGATATATAGTGCATTCACAAAATGTCATTAATGTTTAACCAAAGGATAGACGTAACATATAACTATTTATACTTAATAAGAAAAAAAATAATATTAAAATATTATATTATGTTATATTGATGATTATTAATTATGTATAATAATGTAATATTAATAATTTGCAATAAAAACA